CATGATACAAGTATTCGTATAAATGAATATTCAAAACGTTTTCGACTATTATTAAAAAAATGAATATTTACTAAAAGCTATTTTTTTGCACTGCATATTTTTGGGGTGAGAAATCAGAAACCTTCGAAAAAAGGTAGGCTGATTCAGAAAACGTACGTTTTTGTGCCTGATTTCATGACCTAAAATATTGTCTGTTCTTATTAATTATTATATTTGAGGTCACCCTCAACTGATTAAGATTGAGTCTTAGAATGTGAAGATCAGATCATTAGATTAAAAGATACTCAGGGTAGTTCATTTATTTGTACGTACTTTAAATTTGATGAAAAAGTTACAATAAAAAATATCGTCGGTACAGTATTGAAAAATATTTGATATTAAAACGGAAAGTTTGTTTTTAAAACTTTTTGTTTCAATACAAAATCGTTTGCAATAATGATATAATCATTATAATTGCAAATCGTATTACAAAAGAGAAGGTTGGAATCTAGTATTAATACTGATTAAATATTTTGTCAATTTTCGAAAGGAATTGTTTTAACATTTTGGATAGAAAAGGAAACTACCCCATTTACACAATGTGTTTGCTTAAGCAGTGAAAAGAATTCATATTAATTTGAAAGTGATTCAATTTATTTATTATGTTTATACGCTATTCAAGAATGATTGATTAATGCATATTGGATACATGGTACGGAATTGCGTGATGAGCATGATGGGTTTTTAGCGCAGATGTATTGATGCAATATTAATATCCACATAAAGTTTCGTGAACCTAAATAATAGTTCTTATATTTTCTACAGATCAAATGTTATAAACTAAAGTAAAAATATTCATTGTTTCATTTAATTTATTAAACTACTATTCAAATAATAAAAGCAATTGCTATTTTTTTCGCTGGAGTAGTTTTTTGTCACCATTTAGTATTTCACTCACTTCTTTTGTCATAAGGAGAATTTTAATTCTGCTTAAATTTTGGTGAGTAATTTTAATTTTTTTATTCCATTAATGAATTTATCAATAGCTCTAATTTATTTAAACTAATACTTTCTTTTATTAATTATTTGCTCAAAATTTTCTAAAAATATTTATACCGTAATCCCATTGTAACTCAAAGAAGACATTGTTAGAGCTACTACACAAGTTAAGCAATTATATACTACATGTGCAAGAAATTATATACATGTTATTGGTTTTTAAAATTTACTGTAGCATTTATTAAACTGATTAAATGGAGGAAAAGAATGACCTATTGCTTAATGATTATGTTCAACGAAAACGGGGTCTATATAAGATCAGTAATTTCTTATCTAGCCTAAAGGAATATTCTTCTTCCTTAAATATCTCTTTTTATTTGAGAAAACCCCCTTTTAGAAAAATCATTGTTTAATTAAAATTAAAGATTTTTTTAACTATTGTAATTAATGCTACTCATTGTCACGGGTATTTTATTGGATAATTGAAGATACATTTTTAGAGTTTATTTATTTTCGCATTTAAATTCGAATTTAATTTTATAACAGATGTGAAAAACGAAAAAAAAAAGCTTAGTTAATAGTTTCACTAGATCACTAATAGTATTGGATTAAAGAATAACATTTAGTTCTAATAATTTATTAGTAGTTTAAATACAAATCTAAAACTTTGAACATAATATTTCTTTAACTGCAGTTTAAAAAAATAATTCAATTGTAGTTTAAAAAATAACGGTATATATATTTTACATTTCACAAATAAATTTTCGATAAAAAAAAACCATTGTAAGAAATTTATTATTTTATGAAATTAAGACATATAAAAAGGTTTAGCGATAGTGGAAAATGCTAAATGTATCACATATTTATTGCTTATACTAAATTACTATGTATCAACAATACATGTATCAATAATACATGTATCAATAACTACTTTCTATAAATATAAATCGAAATAAAGTTTGTATTATATTTGTTTGCTATTCTCGATTAACACGAATGGAAATAAGTAAATTTCGTAGGATATTCTTTAACTACTTTCTACAGATATGAAATAACTGAACTTTGTTACTAAATTTAATAACTACTTTAAACATGCCTTGTAGATACAGACAGAAGTAAATGATATTTTCACTAAATTTTAATTACGACAATATTTTTAACATAAAACGCTTCAGCTAATCTTTTTTATGTTTTTATCTAAATCTTCTTCTTATTTTATTATTTAAAACTAAACGCTTTCTCACACTTTATTAGTCACACCCAACGTTTTGGTTCTATATTTAAATCTTAAGTATGCATGAATTAATATTTTTAATTTTCCCTTCAGTCGAACAGTGAGAACAGTATTATTACCAAATGTAATTATTAACGTTTCTCTTTTTGCATGTGACTTAAAAGGTAATAGGGAATATTTTGCATGATTTTCCCTAATTTTTATTCAGGAGCACTTCGATTTTGTGTCACTGAAACTCCCACCTGATAATAATGGTTAAATAAAGTATAATGTGCTATAAAGTATTTTGTGCCGGTCTGGTCTGTGACGTATAGAAATCGAAAAAATAAAGTTTGTATTATTTTTGTCTACTTCTCTCTATAAATATGAATCGAAATAAATATCACGGTATTATGTGTAAGATAAAAAAAAACTGTGTTCCTAATAACTATTAGAAAAGGAATTTTTAGAAATTGTTTATGAAAATGTTTTGAATGCTAAATTTTTTAAAATATACTCTTTCTTACGTTGAGCTATTTTTATATGTTGATAAGAAAAGTAAAAATAAATAAAATTTTTCCTTTGTTAATAAGTCGAAATAAAAACGTATTGAAAAAATGCTTAGAAATATAAATATTTAATTTGAAGAGTATAAAATTTTTCTTTTCTTTTATAAATTCCAAAGATTTCTGAAAAAGAAAATATTTGCAAGACAACATGGAGCACAAAGATATACTTTTTCCCTTTTTTTAATAATTAATTACAGTAATTCCATGGTGTAGCGGTTCGATAGTTCAACAATTCGTTTAATTAAAGATTACTTGAACCGATAAGTTGAAAGACAAAATAATTGCGTAAAGTAGCTTTTAGAAGAAAAATAACACTATCTTAATTACTTCATTCTGTGACAAATTTAAAGTGTAAAAAATATATTTAATTTAGGAATTTGAAATCGCGTATACTGAAAAATTTTGAAAACTATTTCTTTCTACAACTTTTAAAAATTCCCTAATTCTGTTTTCCACCTATATTATTATTTTGAAAAAGAAACAACTAGTCAACAGTTACTAGTAGTAGTTATCTAGTAACATTAACTGGTGAAAAATCTATTAAGATTAGCTATATCTTTACCAGTTATAGTGCTTAAGCCGTCATTGTTAACTAGTTTTTTACCTGCTGTTGATAACAATGCTTTACCTATTACTAAGTTAAATATTTATTTCATCTGTTATTAACACTTACTTTAACTGTTATCGTTAATTAGTTATTTATCCTTGACGTTTTACTAACTTCTTATCCTATTTTTAGCTGTTCTTACATTGATTAACGGATTTTTACATTGAGTTCTTACATAACTATTTTTTAATGTGTTATTAACTAATTCGTTACTTAAATACATAAAACCATACTTGATTAAAAACTTCATTCCCTTCAAAAATATATAAAATTGGAAATAAAAGTCGATTTGTTTCAAGCTCTCAAAAACACGATAGATAAGTCAGTTATCAAGAATGCGGGAAATCATCAATTGCTGCTCATTGTTATCATCTAATACTCAGATTCAATTTCGATAATGCCAAAGAGTATTTCCACTCCATCAACTCATCTTGATGCCCAGGAATCTTGTTTTACACATGTGAATTCTGATTCCCTTGTTAATGACATTAGTTACTTACCAACTCTCAAGAGCGAATGGAAATGTATTTTACCCTGATGTACCTCTCTCGGCCACTATGATTTATCACTTTTGCTTCCTTTTATTTACGTCAGACTTGAAAATGGCACATATTTTTGAGCTTTAGGAAGATGACGACTGTTTTTGCCAATTTGTATATTTTTGAATCTAATGAAGTTTTAAATCAAGTTTTCTTTTATTCTGGTTATGACATAATATAGAAGTATAAACAATTTTTCTATTTCCAATTTGTCTCAGAGACATAAATTACTGAGAAAAAAATAATTATAAGGAATTACACAAACTTTGTTAAATGGTCGATAAATAATTAAGTTGGAAAATCCCGTCTAAAAAGTTAACTTGAAACGATTTCTCACCGGAGTTCAGATTCAATTGATAAATTGTTATAATAAAAATTACTCGTATAATACAAAATTATGTATTAACTTTTGAATTCATTATACACAAAAATAGAATTTTCATTCTAATATTGTATTTACGTTTGAAATTTAGATTTTTAAAATGCAAAAACTATCTGATCGATGCGCAAAGTCTTAAAGTTATTTATTTTCCAAGCAAACAATGCTCTTCGTAATCATGGAAAAATGTAGTCTTAGCTATTTTATAACTTCATAATTACTTCAAAATAGACAAAATAAATTTTATAAGTTATTTTAAACTCTAAAAATTATGCTGAAAGGTATAATTATGCATGAATTTTTTAATTTATTATTGAAAGAAATAAAGGAAATTTTTATTCTAATTTTTTTAATTTGCATTTAAAATTTAGCCTTTTAAAATGCAAAAATTATCTGTTCGAAGTGCAAAGTCTTAAAGTAATTTAGCTTAACATCCAACAATTCTCTTTGTAATCAAGGAAAAAATTGTAGTCTTTTCTATTTTATAACTTAATAATTACTTCAAAATAGACAAAACTAAATTTATATATTATTTTAGATTCTAAAAACTGTCTGTAAAAAAGTCTTTCAGATTGATGAGGGACACTTCAGATATTTTTATTGTTTGTACTTAATTTCGAATCAAAAAGGAACTTATTTTTCAGATTTACGTTTATTTTTTTTGGTTGAATAAATTAAACTAAACCTTTCCCATTTTATTTTCAGATTTAGGAAAATGGAAGTCAATAATTCTACTGAAACTTTTACTGAAGGGCTAATTCCAGCTGATACGATTCAAACCTTACACATCATATTCTATGGAGTCATTGCCCCCCTCATAATTGGTTTTGGTCTTTTTGGCAACATAATCAACTTGATGATTCTACGCACGCCACTTTTAAAAGGAGTCACCTACAGCTACCTAAAATTTCTCGCGATATCAGATATAATATCCTGCATATTTTATATCTCTCTAATATTTAAAAAATTCAAAGTTCGTATGCATACATATGCTGCTGCTGTGTATTATGCCCATTTTGAAATAACTCTACTGAATGCTTTTATGGCTAGCAGCACTCTATTAGTCACAGTTCTCACAGTGGATAGATTTTTTTCTGTATGCTTGCCTGGCAAATATCAAGATATCCACAACAAGAGGAAAGCCAAATATGCAATCGCATTTGCATATATTACTGCATTAACACTGTATTTTCCAGTTTTTTTCATAAATTACGTTGATGTGGATACATCTCAACAAACAGGGGAGGGAATAAAATACACTGTATTCAAGGATAAGGTTTACAAATCTCACGAAGTCTACAAAGCGTATGTTGTCATCAAAGAAATGGGTGTACGCTTGATTCCGATAACAACACTGGCTGTCCTTAATACACTAATTATAGTACGTTTCAAGAAAACATTGGAAAAGCGAAAGGAGTTAATGAGTTCACCCAAAGAATCTCTCGATCGGAAAAGTAAGATGGATCGAAAAAACTGCAAAGAAGAGCGCAGACTTGTTTGCATGCTAGCGGGACTTGTGGTGCTAATATTTATCGGAAAAACGCCAGCATCTATTTACAGTTTTATTTGGCGATATTATGACGCCAAGAAGAACTATGGATATTTGTTGTTTACTTGCTTTGCAGATACTTTAGAGATTCTCAACCACTGCTTAAACTTTTGCGTTTATTGCTGGTGCAGTTCAAAATACCGAAGAGCGTTTATATCGCTCATGACTTGCTACACGATGCCCTCTGTTTTCAACTCAGCTTATAATGCATCGACTTCTGGGAGCAACAGGCGGGATTCAGATGGTACGTCCGGAGGTAACTAAGCTTTTAAAACTTAGATATTTGGTATACAATAAAGTACCAGAATTTTTCAGTCTCAGCTTATAGTACAACGTCTTCTGGTGGCAACACAAGAAACAAAGAGTGTCTGAGAAAATTATGCTAATGAAAACATTTAATGCAACAACTTAAGCTATCTAAACTCTTTCTCAGTCTCAACGTATAGTGCAAACGTCTTCTGGTGGCAACACAAAAAGCAAAGACAAAGTGTCTGTAAAAATTATACTTATGAAAACATTTAATGCAACAACTTAAGCTATCTAAACTCTTTCTCAGTCTCAACGTATAGTGCAACGTCTTCTTATGGCAACGCAAGAAACAAAGACAGAGTGTCTGTGAAATATATACTTATGAAAGCATTCAATGCAACAACATATTCTAACTGAACTCTTTCTCAGTCTCAGCTTATAGTGCAACGTCTTTTAACAGCGACGCAAGAAGCACAAGCGGATTGGTTGTTAAAATTTTAGCTATGAAAACGCTCAATGCTACAATATAGGCAACCCAAACTCTTTTTCAGATTAGCTAATTATGGAACGTCTTCTGATGGTAATATAAGTGGAATTTCTGTGGAATTGTAATTATGAAAACGTTTAATGTAATAATATAAGCTACCCAAGCTATTTAAGCTCTTCCGATGACCCATCGTGTTCTGAAGGCAACAGAAGGAGCACAGATTGACCGACTGAGTGTTTGTGAAAATTAAACTTATTGAAACTTTTAATGCAATAGAATAGGCTATCCAAGTAATTTTCAGCTCAACTTATAATGCAGCTTCTTCTGAGGGCAGCGTAAATAACACAGATAAAATGGCTGTTAAACTTATAATTATAAAAGACTTTTTTGAAACTGTTTTTGCGACTCAGATTAATTTTCAGCATAGTACATATTACAAAGCCTTCCGATGGCAACACAAAAAACTCAGATGGAATGTGTATGAAAATAAAAAGTATCAACACTTTTAATGCTGTAAATTGGTATCCTAAGCTTTTTTAGCCTAATTCATAGAGTAACAGATAAAACTTCAGAAAGCAACAAAAAACATAAAAATATAAGCAACTACTTAAAACTGACGAATTTAAATACATTTTAAAGTGTCTAAATCACACTTAAAACGTAAAATTGAAGATTAACTTTCTTTAGTATTATCTTCTCAAAAGTAAAGCCTAGAGTAGAAACTGATTATAATCTTTTATTTGTATAAAAAGAAAAATGATTCTACTATATATAAACGTCAAATCAAAAACAACTTTTTATAAAGTGTATCCTGAGCACTTGAATTCAACATTATCTAAAAGCAAAAATGCAGATTAAAGGGAAAAGTAAGTAAAAAAACAAAATTTTTATTCAATTTAGATTAAGAGCTTCATATTAAAAATAACTTTTGCATCATTAGCTGCGTGTTTTAGAAGCAGAAAATACAGAAATGTGATCCATAAAACTGAACTAAATTACTTTATTTAAATTACATATAAACTCCCTAATTTTTGAATGAGGTAGATGACGTATTCATATTAATATCTCTTATCCAGGCTGCTTATGCACAGCTTAGTTTTAAGCTTTACTCAGATTTTATATGTGCAATAACTAAACTGATAATTATTTGTGCAATTTGCAGCAATGAATATAATATACTGAAAACAGCAGCTTTGTCTTAACAATTAATTTTGAGCTGTATTCTACAATTTTGCTTAACAGGAAATGTACAGTGTTTAAAATAAGAAAGTGAAAGCCTTTATTAACTCTTCAAATTGAGATGATAAATTTTAAAGTACTAGTACTCAAACTTGATGGTTCAAATATGCTAATTACTAAACACAATCAACATTGTAAGTTAGGAAATTCACAAAAACGAACTTTTCCCGAGCAAACATAGATTTTTCGTTGCATTTTGATTCTTGACTCTTGGGGGTAAATATAATCTGGAAATAATGATCTCATTAGATCAGGCAGAATTGCGGTTGAAAAAGTTTGGACCTCTTAATACTAGTTTTTATTTTATTTATTTACCCATATTTACAAAACTAATAAAGCAATTAAACTATTTGTTGCACACAGATATAAAGCTTCTTTATCAAAAGATAATTTCATGCAAAAATTATTTTTTATAGCTATTTTTTTCTTCATTATTTAATTTACTGGTGATTATTTAATTTATGATGATTGAAGTGTAAGCTATGCACATTTTACACCAATTTAACCTTCATAATTTTTAATGAAAAATTGCGGAATTAGAAGGAAAACGATTGAATAATTCTGGAAAAACAAAAGTTTAAAAACATGATTTATTTCGATGATGCACTAGATAAAAAGTTAAAATATTATTAAGAAACTCAAACTTTTATCCGATTTTTGGTGTAAACAATTGGGGCACTAATTTCCAGATTTCGGCTTCCCGCTATACCGTAAGAGTCAAAAATCCTAATCCGTTGAAGGAAAAGTTACGTTTATTAAGAAAAAAAATGCGTCTGATTTCGTACCGAAAAAAAATCTGCAATAATTATCACACTTAATTAGTAAATGAAACAATAAGAGCTGACTGAAAGTATGTGAAAATCTGATCATAAGCCCAAAAGTTAATCAGTGTGTCTTCTATATTTTGCAAAGGGAAAAAATAAAACAAAAAACACTTAGAGGTAGACGTTTAGGAAGAAGTTATTATCCCTGAACATACTCAATACAGTACTCACAAGTAGAGTTTCAAACAAAACATCGCTGATTAAAAAGTCAGAAATAGTTTTGAACTTGAATTATTTTTTTATCCCATGAATTCTACCAATTTTCAGTGGACCATATGGGATAAAAAGGAATTTAAGATGTAGAGTTTGTAAGTAAAGACTACTGTACGTATTTTGCAACAGAATTGTAGCAAAAAATTGCTTTTTTGCGACCAATTTACAGTGGACTATATGGGATAAAAAGGAATTTAAGATGTAGAGTTAGTAAGTAAAGACTACTGTACGTATTTTGCAATAGTACGTATTTTGCAATACTAGTACGTATTTTGCAATAGTACGTATTTTACAAATGTATTAAATATTACTTGAAAAAAGGGAAAGTTTATAAATGTATTTTTGCATGTGTCTGCAGCGTTAAACTAAGAGTTGAAAAATAGATTATGTGTCGGGCTTAGCAAAGCTTAAAACTAGATGCCTTTGGCGACCAAACTTTAATGGTAACTAAACCAAGTGCTTAACACAACTGTAATTAAATATTCTAATTCTTCCTCCCCTCCTCCAAACACCGTAATTAGTTTTTAACAATATATTGCCCATGTGAAACTACGGCCGGAGCTTCGGCTCCTGATAGGGATACCCAAGCAGGACAGGTCAAAGGGGAAATACCAGACAAGGAGGAAATACCAGACAAAGAGGAAATACCAGACAATGAGGAACACCTTGGCCCCCAGGTTGGGGGTAGGGCGTGAGGCTACCCCGTAAATAAACAACTGTTCAGAAATCTCAGGAAGCAAAAAACCGGACTGATCACACCTAGATAAATCTGGATGGGATAAATTTACTGAATTGGCCTTGGTCAGTAACCGGCTGCTGTGTCTAAGAAGAAGAAGAATTTTAACTATTATTCAATTGTAACTATTTTTAAGAAATGTCCGCAATATTGCTCAAGTTTTTTATGTTATGAATTTTAATAACAATTTAAAATCTTCAAATTACTCTAACCACTGTAAGTATGAGTTGGGGACATTTCAGCACAGTGGTCAGCAGTATGCTGGTTGTATAAATCCGCGGCCAAATCTTCTAATTTTGATCAAACTTTTTAAAGTTACTAATACTGATTTTGTTTTCCGTAATTTTTTTTTTAAAAAAAGAAATCTCAAATCTTTCTATTTTACGAAACTTTTGATAATGTTGTATAGTTTCCTTGATTTTCGGAATTACCACCGAATAATAGCACATTAAAAAATAGCATTTTATTACAAAAATAGAAATCCTAGTTTTTTCCAAAAAATAATGTTCTCAAAAAAGCACGTATGCATTCGTTCGATAATGTACGATTCCTTAGATTTCAATTAACATGACTTTTGATAAATAATTTTTGAATTTGCATGTCACTATAGTTTAAGCTTTCAATATCTTTAATTCACTATTCTGTGCGTGTAAAATGCATAATATTACTTTAGAACTTGGAAAATGAATGCTTTAGAACTTCAAACAACTAACGAACTTTCAAATAATCTTCTTTGAAATTGTTATAGATTCTTTCGGAAATCAATTTCAAGATTGAAGTTCTTAAAAGTTTTAGAGTGGAAAGGAAATTTTCTCCAGAGGTGAATATTTCAGGTTTGTCAACTATCAAAAGTAATTCATAAATATTGCTAGAAGGAGTGTTATGAAATTGATGTGAAAAGTTCTATTTACGCTAAAGCAGTTTGGCTCTTTCTCAGAGTAAGGCGTTATTTTGGCCGTGTTGCAAAACAAATCATTGGTAAAAGGTGCCAAGTGCTGCATTGGATTTTTGGGTTCTGATATAATACAAAACGAACAATCTTAAAAAGAAGTGTCAGAAATATTGAGAAATAATCCATCTTCTTATTTCCCACTCCTGTATTTTCTAACGCAAGAGAAATGAAGAAAACAATATTTTAGTTTAGGTAAACATATAGATAAATTTTCGAAATTTTAAAAAGAATTTTCAGTTTTTTAAAACCTGTTTTGAGTGAATTTCACAGATTAAGAAATTATAAAATGTTTACCATAAATATCAAATAAATGAGAGCCATTAATGAAATTGAAAGCAAACATAACAAGGGTTTGTTTCTATGTTTATTGTATAGTATATATAGTGTTTTTATAATTATAGTGTATGTTGCATCATTATTTATTGATATACATGGTGTCCTGCAAAAACCACACTTAATATGCATTTTTAGAACCCTTATCAAAAACGCTAAAAAGTTGGCACACTGGAAGGTTCAAATTATTATTTGAATGAAGGAAAATGAAAACGGCATTGAGATTAAAAAAAAAAGTACAGTGCAGGAATGTAAATGTAATAAACTTCAAAACAGGTTTAATTGGAGGTTGAAGCTTGAAAGTGTTATTTATAATAATTTTTCAACTCCTCTCTGTTTCAACTGTACCGAGTGTTGAATTGAAGATCCGGCTAATATAAAAAAATGACATTTATTTAAATATCAGGAAGCTATTAACGGCTTCTAGCTTGCAAGAAATTCTTTGTCAAGAAAATCTTTGCAAGAAAATGATAATTTACCAAACTTCTTGATATCTATTAACAATTATAATAAGCTATTAACAACTTCTAGCTTAAAGCAAGACCCTAACAAATCTATCTTTTCGAATGATTTTCTGTACGACTAAATCAGAGCTAAAGAAACTGCAAGAAATCCTTTGGGTGATGATATTTTACTAAACTTCTCACATTTGTTTTTAATCCCGCAACTGGTTGTTAAACAACTCTCAGCAAAACTCAATTTTATTTTTCTCTTGATGGCGTCACTAACTTTCACACAAAATCAGTGTAAATTATTCAAAAAAAAAAAAAAAAAAAAAAAAAAAAAAAAAAAAAAAAAAAGAAAAAGAAAAAAAAAAAAAACGTTTTTTCCAATCCCAATTTTTTCGGTTTACGACTACTAATGTTGAACCCCGTAGCCTTGCAATTTTGAATCCAATCCAAAAGACAAGGTAATCCTGGATCAAGTATTGAGAGAACTGTGCCTTCGTGGGTGACTTTTTGATTAAACAAACCCGCATTTGCGTTACATAGAGAGGAAAAACCTTCCACGGTTA